CTTTCCCTTTGTGTTGGTCATTTTGGTGAGTTACTGGAAAATGGCGGTTCCAGCTGAAAGGTGAAATCTCCACATTTTAAATAATTAATTAATTAATTAATTAATGGCTGCCTTGGGTCTTTGTTGCTGCATGCAGGCTTTCTCTAGTTGCGGCAAGCAGGGGCTACTTTTTGTTGCGGTGCACGGGCTCTAGGCTTCAGTAGTTGTGGCATGGGGGCTCTGTAGTTGTGGCTCGCGGTCTCTAGAGCACAGGCTCAGTAGTCGTGGCGCACAGGCTTAGTTGCTCCACGGCAAGTGGGATCTTCCAGGACCAGGGCTCCAACCATGTCCCCTGCATTGGCAGGTGGATTCTTAACCACTGAGCCATCAGGGATGTCTGAAATCTCCACATTTTTAAATGTCAGTAGCCCATCAAAATAATTTTTAACACTTTGAAGACTGCTAAAACAAATTTGAGAGGCAGATCCAGCCAGCATGCAGCCAATTTTCAACTTTTAGGGGAAAAGAAGCCACTGGAGGGTCTTAAGAGGAAAAGTGACAGGGTCAAATGTGTGTTTTAAACAGACCATGCTGCGAGGAATGCAGAGGATGGATTGAGGGTGGTGCTGAAAATATGCAACAAACCTCACCCAGTAACAGATAAGGCCTGAATTAGGAAGAGATTAAATCATGGATTCTATTTAAGAGGTCAAATAGGCAGGACCTGGTGAGTAACTGAATGTTGGTGGGAAAGGAGCCAAGGGTGAGTCCCAGACCTAACTTGTCTACCTGGGTACACAGATAGAGAGCACAGGAGAAAAAGCAGCCACTTCCCGCACACCCACCTTGATATCCTCCTTAGTGAGTCGGGGCCAGGCCACCTTCTCCTTCCATTTCCTCACAAAGCAAGTAATGGAGCGGCCAGAGCGCTTATCTTGCGAGTCCTGCCAGATAGAGAGCATCATTCTTAGGGTCTGAGGTTTAGAATGAATCTCCATTTCCCAAGCAGCCTTCCTATCCAGCCCTTACTGCCCCACCCCACCCTTACCTTGCAGTTCACCTTGGCATAGAACTCAATCTCATTATAAAACTCCACTCCATCGGCATTCTTGCAGCTGAGGAGACAATGCAGCTAAGGAGACGAGGAGGCTGAGTGTGGAGTATGGGGGCATTAGGAAAAGGGAAAGGTTCCCAAGAAGCCAGGCCCTGGCAGCAGTGGAGGAGGAGGGGATTACCTGAACACAATGCGGTGGTCTTCGATGAGCACGTGGACATCGGTGCTGTCCTCAACACAAAACTCCATGAACACATACTTGGGCCTGTCGTACCACAGGGTCCGAGCATGCTGCCTGAAGAGGAGTTGAGGTGGGGCTTCACAGGGGTGCGAGAGGGAAGACTGAAGGCATTTGGGAAAGGTTGGGGGAAATACAGGGACGTTTTATGCTACAGCACGGTCAAAGCGGAGCTAAATAAGACAGAAGGGGGTGGAAGGGGAGTGACGAGACTGGGATGTGTGGTGAAGATGAACCTGAGGCGAACCGAAAGTGCGAGAGTAGAGAGGTAGGGAGTTATGGAGAACATTCAGGTCACACTTCCCCTCACCACCCCAAGGGTACAGAGACCTGGGGTCCGGGGTTCCCATGGGACCTCGCAGAACCTGGAGCGCCCAGAAAACGTGGGGAAAGTAATCTCTAGTGAAAGAGGCGGCCAGAAGCACTTACCGTGCCATGGCGGCTCCCGCTGCCCCGAGGCGTTTAGAATCCGAGGCAGGGGCCGCTATCTTTAGATCCTGGGGACGCCCCCAGCAGCTGCCTCTCCTTACATGGTTGGGGAAAGGGTTTAGAAGAAGTGGGAACGTGGCCTAAGCCAAGGGATCCGCACTCCGAAGAGACTCTGGGAGAGCATAGTCCCTGCAGCCCTTCACATTTTGGGGTCTCCAGAAATACACACGTTAGGCATAGACGACCCGCCCGCCGGGATTAGAGGTCGATACACATGGAAGGGCTTGTCCCGACTTCATTCGCCTGTTTCTCCAATGCTTAGCACACTCAGTGTCCGACACACAGCAGGCGCTCAATTAAAAAAAAAAAAACTACTGGCCAGAATTAAGTCCCGAGGGAAGGCCGGCCCTGGATGACGTCTGAACTAGGTGACGTCTGGGCCCCGCCCATCCGCTCCTCCGGGTTTCCCAGCCAGCGCGCCGTTGCCATGGCAGCAGGGGGCGTGGCTGACGTGCGGCGGCGTTTCCTGAAACATGGCGGCTCTCGAAGCGGTTGCCGAACCGGTAACGGGGGTAGCGGCCGTTGGACCAAAGGCGAAGGACGAAGGGGAGGAAGAAGAGGAGTCGCTTCCGCCGTGCGAGGCAGTGCGCTGGGCGCCGGTGGGGGCGGTGGCAGAGGCCGGGTCCGGGGCGGCGGCGTTCTCGGAAGAGGCGGCGGCCGAGGAGCCCGGAGCGGCCCCGGGCTCCCCACCGGACTCGCCGGGCCGGACGCTGCGGCGGCTGCGGGCCGAGCGGCGGCGGCTGGACTCGGCGCTGCTCGCGCTGTCCTCGCATTTCGCGCAGGTGCAGTTCCGCCTGCGGCAGGTGGTGCGCGGGGCGCCGGCGGAGCAGCAGCGCCTCCTGAGCGAGCTCGAGGACTTTGCCTTCCGTGGCTGCCCTCACGTCCTGGGTTACGGGAGCCCAGAGGACCCCGCCAGCGATGATGGCGACGGGATGCCGGGGGACCGGCCACGGTTGCGGGGCGAGGACCAGGTGAACAGCTGGGGCCGCGCCCCGAGGGATATGGGAATAGAGGGGTAGGTGGGCGGCGATGCTAACGCGGACGGAGGTAGCACTGGTGAGAAGCCGCCTCGTCTAGGTGGCTATGCGTGTCCCAGAAGAGACCAGACAGGTGTTCGGGACCTGCTGAAAGGCAAGAGGACAAAGAGGCCTGGGGAGCTGACGGTGGGAGGTGTTCACCAAAGGTGTGGGAAGAGATGCAGGTGTGATGAGGTGAGAGGCAGAAGAGAGATGAGCGAGGAGAGTGTTCGGAGGGCAACAGAGCAGCCAACTGAAACAGGGCTGCTCCCGCTCACCTTGCCGTCGCCTCAAGAACCTAAATCCTCAGCACATTTGCTGATAGAGTTCTCCGACCCTGGAGATTGAGAAAATTGCTTAGAGAAGAGCAAGTGAATTGAAATCCATGGAAATTTAGATGTACTCCCTGTTCGTGCTTTCCTAGAATCTAGAGAATGTCTTTAATCTTCAGACTCTTGTCTGGGTGAGAGCTTTGGTGAACAGCAAGGTCTCTTTGTAATTGTAAGAAACACAAGTCCTAATTATGTGAATTTCCTAATGCTGGTATTTTAAAACTCCTTCCCCATCCTACTTAATAACTAGGTATTCTAAAGGAAACCCCTTTGGTAACTGTGACAAGATTCATTCAGATAGTCAACACTGAATGCTGAGCATTTGTATGACAGCCCCAGGGGACGTTTCCTTACAGTCTTTGAACCTCTGGAAGTGCACAGTTGTAGATAGCTTGTTGAAAGAGACTCGCTGTTTTTTCTCCACCTTCTTATTTAGGTTACAACCCATATGTGGCTTTCTTCCCACTTAAATTGATTTTAACCAAGAAGACTTATCAGTAGCAGATATTGACTTGCTTATTTTAATCTGAAATGTTTCCAGTGCAGTCCTGTGTTTACTGTTCCACCCTTCTCTCCGTATACCCACAGCTCCTTGCACAAGTCCTCAAATTGCCAGACTTTTTTTTTTTTTTTTTTTTTTCGGTACGCGGGCCTCTCATTGTCGTGGTCTCTCCCGTTGCGGAGCACAGGCTCCGGACGCGCAGGCTCAGCAGCCATGGCTCACGGGCCCAGCCGCTCCGCGGCATGTGGGATCTTCCCAGACC